TATAATATTATATTATATTAGTGCCTTTTAATATTAATTGACCTCCTTCCCAAATCAGGTTATATTAGTGTTCAGAAGGAATAATCAATTCCAGGATAAAGTATAATATAATGTTAAATATCTGCTTTCATGGACATTGTTGCTGTAGGGAAATATTTGTTTAGCATGTATGGAAAAAGTAGATTACATTTCCTATAGTTGAAGTTTAGTGAGCATTGTACCTAGAAAGCAGTGAATTGTTTAAATGTAAGACTTTTTAATAATAGAACTTAAATGATGAGTGAGGTTTTGCAAAAGTGATGCTGAAGATGAAGACATCTGGAAGACGTTGAATTTTAACAACCTATTGTATTTATCTCTTGCAGTGCTGGTTGATGGGGAACTACTGCCACAAACCTTTGCAAAGATGTTACAGCGAGACAAGCCTATAGAAATGCAACTTACAGCAGCTAAATGGTAATTGACGACAAAACATTTATTAACATTACTATATATATATGATGTTCTTCCTTACTCCCTATTTATCATGTGAAAAGATGAGTAATCAATCTTGCAGTATGTGCAGGTTGTCTAAATGATTTGCAGTTGTGCCCATTGCATGATGGGAACATGACATTCTGTGATGTAAATACCTGTTTTAGGATGGAGAATGTGCTTGTTTGTCAGACTTTACAAGGTCTATAGAAAGGGAATTTGTACTGCTGTGCTTGCTGCTTTCACTCATTCTGAATAATCATAATACTAATGTGCAGACAGGATGGATCATGGTTTAGGAATAGGCACGTATGTATTAAAGGATGGCTTTACATTTGCAATGGGGTTGCACATTTTCACTCCCAGGCTGGGCCATACACAGAAGAATGGGCTGCCCGATTCGTTTTCGTTTTCTGTTGCCAGTTCTGTAGAATTGGGCTGATCATTGGAAAATTAGAACTAATTGCAACATTCTTTTCATTGTAAATGAAGTGTATATTGGCATCGGAATATTAACAGACTATTATTGTAGTTCTTCCTTTCTCCCCATTTATTATGTGAAATGATGAGTAATCATTCTTGCAGTATGTGCAAATTGTCTAAATGATTTGCAGTTATACCTGTTGCATGATGGGTTGCTACAGTTCACCAAAAATATGTAGATGTCAGAATATGCTTACAAAATAGAAAAAACGTGAAATCCTGTGATATAAATATCTATTTCAGGATGAACAATTTGCCTGTTTTTCACAATGTACAGTTTCTGTATAAAATGAATTTGCACTACTCTGCCTGCTGGTTTCACTCATGCTGTGCAAAAAGCAAGGATCATAGCTCAGAAAATATGCATGTCTCCTCGACTGGTCCTTATAAAAGGATGGCTTTACATTTGCAATGGGGTTTATATGTTCAATCCCAGGCTAAACCATACATGGACGAATGGGCTGCCAGATTGGACTTGTCGACAGCAGCAGCAGAATTATCAGTATCAGAAAATCTGCATGCTTTTATTCATTCCTAGTATTCCTATTCCGATGTAGTGTTTATTAGGAGATGCCAGATCTGCTATATTGTCCTGTAGTTTTTGTATACAAAGTGTAGGAACGAAATATTGTGTTTTCATAGGATGTAAAGATTTTTTTACTGAAAAAGACTTTAATTAGAGTCACCTAAAGACAAAATATAATGTTTATTATAGAGTATAATTCTGGTGTGAGACTTTAGATAAAAGCTTAAAGTGAAGTAGCCACATAACAAAATCTAGTAAAAGTAAACTGTTTAAAAAACAAAAAAAATGGGTGGCTGCATGTATCTATGGAACTAAAAATCCTCCTCATTGTGCCCATGGAGTCGTTCCATTTCTGCAACTCCAATCTATACCCCAGATTCTGAGGTTAAGAAAGCCAGAGTTGCATCTAAAGAAATCCAAGACATTTTTATTAACCATTGCAGTGGAGCTACCCCCCTGCTGCAAGTGTTAAAGGAAAAGTACTGATTTTCACTCATCCTCATAGTTAGAGCTGACCTGTGACAAAGAAGCTGTCACAGGTTGGCTCTGTTGATCGGGAAGTGAGCATAAACATGCAGCCGATCTGCTCACTTCCCAATCATCTCCCTGCAGAGAGCGGCGACTGTAGGTCACCGCTACCCACAGGTATTCCCCCCTCCCCTCTCCGATCCTCCAGCGTTGAGTGGAGGAACAGGCGGGGGAGTGGGCGGGCACAGCTGGCTCTGCCTCTAGATAGGCCGAGCCCGCTGTCACTCACGCAACTGGGTGGATCTCGACAGTATTGTCGAGATCTGTCCCGGCTGTGGCGCCCTCAATATATCACGGGCAATAGCCTGCGATATACTGTCTGTCACCGCTCCCTATAGGGATTCCCCCCCTCCCCTCTCTAGATAAGCCAGCTAGGTGGATCTCGACAGTATTGTCGGGATCCATCCCTGCTGCGGTGGTCTCAGTATATAGCTCGCTATATACTGAGCTTTGGGTCACGGGAGGAGGTTAGTATATGCCCTCCCATGACCCTAAAGAGAACTATGGGGAAAAACACTTACCCCATAGTTCTCTTTTAAGTGTTTGTTTGTGTGTAGGTTAAAAAAAAAAGTTAATCTCACACAAAACCAGCTTCTTTTTAGACCAGTCTTTCCAGCATCTCTCACCCATCCCTGCAGTGGTCTAAGGACCTGTAAATAATCACGCCTGTACACCGTGTTTTAAACATGAGGAAGATTCCAATGCTGCTATGGAGGAGGAGACCGGTTGGAGGGAGCTGTGACAGCTGGCCAGCTTAGAGCTTCGGGTGAGTATAACTTTTTATTTTTGTCCCTGGACACAAACGAGTAGTTAACCCTTGTAGTGTGGGGGTAGCCCCACTGCAAGGGTTAATAAAATGTTTTCCTGGAGTTCTTCTCTACGTAGTACTATTTTGAAACATCAGTGACGCCTTCATTGTATTGTGGGATGTAGTGGGAATGTATTATCAGTAGGTTGCATTTTGCAGATAGCTGTTACTGGTGTAACAGTTCTCCTTACAGATTAACACCTGACATTTTTAGTGTGTGTGTGTGTGTGTGTGTTGTTTTAGTTTTTTCCCCCTTACCTGTACTAGTAAATATACACTATATGGGTAAAGGTTTGCGGACACCTGGCCATCACACTTGTAAGTGTTGCTTTGGCATCACTTTCAAAAACCATGGACATTAATATGAAGTTTTAAACCAGATTGTGGAGTGCAAATTTGTGCCCATTACGCCAAAAGAGCATTGATAAGGCCAGGTACTGATGTTGGATAAGAAGACTAACGGGTTATTGACAAAAGGGTGAGGAGTTTGGAGAAGGCAGGGGAAGTGAACAATCTAGGACAACATAGCTGAACTGGAAAAATTCTCCAATTCAGCTAACTTTCCAGTTCAGCTATGTTGTCCTAGTGATTGTTCACTTCTCCTGCCTTCTCCAAACTCTTCACCCTTTTGTGAATAACCCTGTTAGTTCACAGTAAAAGTTTCAGTTCATCTCAAAAGTCAGGGCTGCGTGGGAGCCACTTGAGTTTCTTCACACCAAACTGGTCAAAAGATGTCCGTATGGAGCTGGCTTTGTGCACAGTCATGTTATCACACAAAAGGGTCTTCATCAAACTTTTACCACAAAGGTGCAAGCACACAATTGTCTAAAATGTTTTTGTATGCTGTAGAATTAACAGTATCCATCATTTGAACCACCTGATCTCAATACTTTTGAATGGTTGTCCACATACCTTTTGCCATTCAGTGTGGGTGTGATTGTTTGGTTTCCACAAACGTTAGCCAGCAGTGCTCCAAGTTGTTCTCAGGAAGGACTTAAAGGTGTTAATTGATTTCAGATGTAAAGCAGTATCGAGAGAGTGGTGTCTCTTCATTGGATTGCTGGAGCTAAAGCTTCAGGTAATGCAAAATCACAGATCCAGAAACCATATTTAGTGCTGAACTAGTGGTTCAGTCACCAGTGCAGTCTTTGCCAGTCTACTTCTTATGATCTGTGCATGCACAGTTTTTCACCTTTCCACCAAGTGATAATAAATAATGGGACGTATTATCGTATTCTGATTGCCCACTTAATTATCAAATCTGATCAATCACCTTTTTTTTCCAGCTTAACATACATGTGTCGATCAGGCTCTATTCGAACAGATGACAACTGCATTGTTCTGAAAGTGAGTAGCTGTGTAATCTTCAATTGTCATGGATGGTCTTCAAAGTAGATAATGTTTTACTTTTGTTATTCTCCACAATATTGTCACAGACAACCACAAATAAGCCTTACCAACCCATTGTTATCCCATTTTGGCTTCAACAAAGAACTTTTGCTTTAACTAAAAAAAAAAGAAAAGTTTTTGATGTTGCTGTAAAATACTTGTAAATGTGCTCACATCTTTAACTGTGCTGTACCTTTCTGTTTTCAGACACTCCCCTGTTTGGTTCGAATGTGTAACAAAGAACGTCTTCTAGAGGAGAGAGTAGAAGGTGCAGAAACTTTAGCCTATCTAATAGAGCCAGATGTGGAGCTGCAGAGGATTGCCAGCATTACAGATCATCTCATCTCCATGCTTGCCGACTACTTTAAATACCCCAGCTCAGTCAGTGCCATCACTGACATTAAGAGGGTTTGTATATATCATTGTCTGTTTAGTTTAAATCAATGTTGAGGTTACATGGAACTCGCACACAATTTTTAAATATATAATTAGTTCTAACAATTACCAAAATTTGACAGTTTGGCATCTGAGTGAAAACACTTTGATGTAGAAATTAAATGTGTCCAGTATCTACATAAGATATGTTTTGCTTAAGATTATATGAAAGGCCCATCTGCTTTTCACAACATATCATGTGTTTATCAGGGATAAAGACTAAAATTGGGCCTATAAAAATGTAATTACTGTTTGAGTATATTACCTAATAACAGATGGCTGGCCCGTGGGTGTTTTTTAGCTACATAACATCATAGTTTTGTTTATTTTAAATGTGTCAAATTATCTGAAGCGATACATTTATATAAGCAGCATATGCTGATTTATTACTTGCATTTTAAAGCTGATAATAGTCTGCAGTTGCCTACATACAGTAATAGGCAGAACATGCTGCTGGGTTTTAATAAATCATTGAGGAGAGCCGTAGTAATGGACAGTGATGGCAGCCAGTCAGATCACTAAAGGTTGCATGAAATGGGTTCAGTGGTTGGCACATCTAACTTGATCTTTGAAATGGATATATTAAATAAACCCACCAATATGCCCCATACAGCAAAGCTGTTATGATGCTGCTAGACCTGGATATGCCTATTCTGCAGCAACCTCATACAAAGGCAAAAATGTTGCCCAGCGCTATCAATCATTTGTAATAAATGAAGAGTTAAAGAGGAAAAAATGTAAATCCCGGTTTGTTGGAACCCATTGATATAGTAAAAGCCCCATAGCAAATGGCAAGGCTCCTGTACTGTCGTTTGAAGGGCTTGTTGGACTGATGTCAGGCCACAATATTCTAGGCTTCCACTTAGAGAATCATTTATTCTATAGTGTTGCATTGTAATACCAGCTTTTACTAGCTGGCACAATTAATAATTACCTCTGTCCCTGAAGATTTGCAACTTTTAGAGATATGGGGTCACTTTTAGTAACAGAATAGTCTCCTATAACAAGGTTATTTTCATGTGATTTCTATTACTTACTCTCTGATCTGATCACTGGTTTGTAAATTGTAGTCATGATATAACTGCATCTGCTACCACCCAAATGGTAAGTTGTAAAATTAGGAAAAGAGGGGTTGCATCTTAAAGTGACACTAAACCTGGGAGTTAAATCTTTTAAATACATTCAAGTACCTTAATTATTAACAAAAATGACTGACAGTCACCGCTCTGATGATCGGGAAGTGAGCGAGCGACGGTACGTGTTCACTCCCCGATCAATAGAGAGCCGTGACAGGATCAAGAGGTGAGCGAACCTGGTATGTGTTCGCTCACCTCCCGATCTACTGAGCCGACCTGTGACAGTCTCATTGTCACAGGTCGGCTAGAACTATGAGGTGAGTGAAAATCACTCATCTCATAGTTCTCCTTTTAAACCCTCTCTGTCCAGGCCATTTTTCAGTATTCAGCGCTGAGGCACTTTGACTGGCATTTATTCAGTCATGCAACGCTGTACTGAAATTCATTTGATATCAATTTTCGGGGACAGATAGAACTTTCTTTTGGTGGTATTTAATTGCCGCTGGGGTTTTTATTTTTTACTATATAATGAAGAAAATTCAGAAAATCTTGGGAAAAAACAACCTGTTGTTCCTACGTTATGTTCTAAAACATTTATCAGCACCCAATTTTTTAGTAAAATATAAAAGATGGGGTCATGTCGAGTAAATCGACACCAAACATGTCAAGCTTTAAAATTGTGTGCCCCTGCGAAATCGCAAAAAACGTCCAAACTTAAAATTGGCCATAGGTGTCGCTTTAAAAGTTTATAATAATATAATGATAAATGTATAATGACAGGTCCCCTTTATGGAGACATCAGGGGTCTCCAAGACCCCTAATGTCACCTAGGGACCCCCAAAGAAGCTGATAAAGCAGAGATCTTCACCAGCTCCTTCTCTGGCTATAGCGGCCAGAGAAATGACAGCTAAAGGCAGAAGTGATGCAATACACATCTCTTTGCCTTTAGAGAGAGAGTAGCAAGCAGGAGAATGCTGATCTCTCCTCTATTATCACTGTAAACAGCCGCTCTGTCAGTCCCTGGCCTGCAGGGGGCACAGCAAAGCTCGGCACAGCAAAAGTGGCAGCGGAGAGGGGGCTGCACGCTGTTTGTTGTCATACAAGAGATCGGACGGCTGTAGAGCCACCCGAACACTTTTATGCAACAGCCATTACCGGCGGTTTACATGTACAGTGTGATTCTGTCCATGCGCAGTGACGGCAAGCAATTTAAATACTTTTTTTGCTCGTCATCCGACTAGCTTTCTCATTTCAAATTTTGACAGTCACCATGGGGAACAAAAGTACTCGCCCTCCAGAAGAAAAGACAGTGTATGTTGTAAAGTAACCACCTCTCCAAGCTCACTACCTTCAAGGAGTTCAATCACACGCTTAGTTTACCAATTTGTATTGAGATCGTTGTTCCATCATGGAAGTGAACTTGGAGCGGTGGCTACTTTACACACACACAGGGACTATGGGGAGCAAAACTAGCCACCATCCAGAAAGAAGATCCAGAAAGAACAATGTCAGCACAAATTCAGAGATGATTTGAGGATCTACAGCTGAGTAATGCACAAGTAAGGTACATTAAGGTACTTGAATGCATTTTTAAGGTTTAACTCCTGAGTCTAGTGTCACTTTAAGGTCTGGCCAGCAGCACGTATTGCTGAATCTTAGCCCTTAGGAACTGTTTAAAAGCTAGTTGTTTTAAAGCATATGCAAATGCATTTTTTTAGTTTTGGATAAAGTAAGGAAAGGTTTCTCCCCCTGTCAAGTTCTTATTGCTGTCTGTGTATCCCCTATCTTTGTCCTGATTACCATTTATACTGAGACAGAAAGTGAGCAGAAATGCGACATGTCATAGTTGTTACCAAAACAAGAAGTTAGGAGGATACTTCCAATAGGGACACCTTTTTCTGTGTCCCAGAGAGGATTTCCTTTTACTATGGGGAGATTTTCTAGAACTAGACTAGAAGTGTGCGAATCTTCCAAACAGGACAGTCAGCAAAAAATAACTTAATGGTTTAATCCTTTCCTACTATATTCAAAAGTAAAAAAACAAACAAACAACCTATCACAGCTATAAGGGTCTCGTTCTTGTTTAATCTAGAAATGCTTGGCAGAAATAGAGCTGTTTTGGGCTGATCTTGCTGCTAAAGCTTCTAAGAGAAATAACAAGGCAACTGGTAATTTGGCCCACTAGTGCCTGCTTACAACCTAAATAATTGTTTTGAACGATCATGCCCTTAAACAGATTCCTATACACGTGGAAAGAAAAAAAGCAGTTCCTCTGCACTTGCATTTAAATTATTATTTCCTTTCTATAAATTCTGTTTGTTGTAAGTCTGTTTCCTAAAGAATGGAAATCTCTTCATTTTTTTTTTCTTTTGGTTTTATCAGTAATGTTGCACTGCATATAGGTTTCTCTTAACTCCCATGTTTCTGCTCCTTGGTTAGCGCAAACCTGTCCTCTTTCCCCTCTTGTTGTACACTACAGCAGCAAGAAACAGGGCAACTTTGCACCGAGGAGACAGACTCGGGAGGGGCTATAGACGAATCCTACTGCACTGCAGCCTCTCTTACCTTTCCATTGTCACAAATGACTCCGCAAGCACAGCTTGTCTCACCCCCATCTCCAGAGTCCAAAGTGAGTATATACTGTTTGTTGGTAGGTAGGTTCTAGTGTGTATTTGTTGCTTGAGCATACAAACGCAGCATTTTGTTCACTGCTGTAAAGAAAGAAAATTGTGCACTGAAAAAAGCTTATTGAAGAGGTCTGATGTATATACATTACAGTAGGGTCCAAAACAACTAGATTTACAGAACCAAGTTTATACTCAAACAAGATAAACTTTTACAGTTATATTAGTTAACATGTTTGTCAGTATTTATTCACAGTCAGATAGCAGTTTTGAGGAAAGATGAAGGAAAAACACTTGCTGGTGTACTTCTACTACGTTTTGGACTATACTGTATTAAGGAAGTTATTTTGGAATTCTGTTGGACCAAGCTTTTCTCTTTGTGTAGTACATGTTGCTTGATTTTTGTGTTTGATGAATGTGTTGCATTAAAATAATTAGGAATGAGTTGCAGTGCACCTGTGCCCAGACTATGGACATTAAAAGTATTTATATGTTCTTAACAAGCTGTAACACCTTTAAAACAAGCTATCCCTGACTCCTGACTTCTATAGCTGCTTGTAGTATGAAATAATTCATTCTTAAGGTGTCCATACACCTTGCGATTATCGTACGATAATTGTGGGAAATCGCAAGGTGTATGGAAGGCATGCGACCGTCTCTACTGTAAGGTTGCACGTCTTTTGTCAAAGGAGCATGCTAGAAAACCCGCCGAGAATTGTACAATTGTGGGCGGGTTAGTGGCGTGCTCGTTCGACAACTGCGGACCGGGCCGGTGTGCGCACACTGCCCGTTCAGCATTGCGGTCATCGGAAGCCCGCCCCTCAGCAGGGCGGGCTTTTTGATGATCGCAAGTACGATCTGCTTGTCCAAGATGGAGGGATCGTGCGAGCTTTTAATTAGCTTACAACCATCGCAAGACACAGGTCTTGCGATGGTTGTAAGGTGTATGGGCACCTTTTTAGAGATGCTTAAAGATCACAACGAATAATTTAAAGTTGGGTTTAGTCCGTTTCTAATCGCTTAGAAACACCAGCTGTGTGTTTTTAAATTCGAGGCCTGGCTGCTGTAAAAATTATACTCTGCTGCTGCAAAAAGTAAACAAGAAATAAGTTGTGATTTCAGTGCCTCTATTGTGAACTTGAAGATGAATGTCACCTAAGGCCTCATTCACACTGCCGTATAATACGCTGCGCAGAGATGCGCGCATCGGTTTCTTCCCCATATGCAAATAAATGGCTCCATACACATAGCTGCGTATGGAGTCGTATTTTTG